GAAGGAAGAAAACTTTGTCACCATTATTGAATTTTTCTCCTGAAGGCCGGATTTGCTTACGTAGTGCCCTTCTAACTTTCTCAGAGGATTCTGCCGCAATAAATGCTTTTCCAGCTTCGTGTAAGCCAACTAGATGTCTTCCCATAACGTTACTAATGGTTGTACCTTCTAATGCAGGAGGCTTGTTAACTAAAGATGATGGCATGTTTGGGTTCCTTCCAAAAACTATTTGATATGGACTGTAGCCATACACGTTCAACAAACTGTTCTTAGCATGAACTGCCCAACTGACGGCAGTCTCCCATGAAAGGTTAGAGCTCTCTCTCATTTTATTGATGGTTTCTGTTAGAGTTGCATTGTGTCTTTCAACTACTCCATTGGACCATGGACTGTATCCTGCTGTTGTTTTTACTGACATATTCAAATTTTCTGCCATGTCTCTAAATATCTGTGAATTAAATTCTCCTCCATTATCTGTATAAACACCAACTTCAGGTGCACCATAAACACCAACCCATATCTGCATGAACTTGTCTACAATAACTTTAGAATCCTTTCTTCTGATGATAGCAGCTGCACTCAATCTGCTGAATAAGTCAATAATATGTAGATAATAAAAGTTATGGTCAATTTCATGAAGGTCCATTGCCACAATTTGATTGAAATCATTTGCATGTGAAAAGGCAACCACTGGTTTGGCTTTTGAATGTTTGAACTTGTGGCAAATTAAACACTTTGAGCAGATATCTTTAAGAATTGTCTTTGTTTCAGAATCAACAGGACCAGCACTTTGCAAAAGGGATAAAAGTTTATCTGATGATGCATGTCCAAACTGCTTGTGCAACTTCAATAGAATCTCCCTTTTCTTCTTTAAAGATAATTGTGTATCAATGCACAAAACCTCCTCACTCTCATTTTTGTTTCTGTTTGTATATTGCTTGTCTTTAATGTTGATACAGAAATGACCACTTGAAGTTAGGTTCACATCCACTAACTGTCCAAACATGATAACCTTGTCATTGCTGAGATCAAGGATAGTGCTTGCTCCCTTCAGAGAGGTTTTACTTAACAATAACGGTATTTCACAATCCACTACTTCTGTTTCAATTGAGCACTTAATTGACCCAATAAGTGCTGGGATTTTCACTTTCTGATATGAGTATACTGTTTGTCCATCACCAAACTTGAATGGTACATGACTTTCAAAACAAGTAATTTGATCAAGCCCTGGATCAAGTGATTCTACAAATTCATACAACCATTTAGAACCACACACTGTCTTAGAACATGCAGTATCAATAACTGCGGCATTGTAGGCTTCTGCGACAAACACCGTTAGAGGCTTAAATTCCTGTGCTGAGGTAAATAATGTTATATTTACAGTTTCATTTAATTCATCACTCTCATGTTCTGTTAAATTTACATCAAGCTGCTTGTGAGGACAATCCTTGACCCAATGAAATTTGGAATCACATATTTTACATCTTGAGACATTACCATTAAAGACTGGATTCATTTTAGTCTTAAGTCTACTAAAGTTGGTAGATCTATCAGCTCTATTACGAGGAAAATTTCTTCTTGAACTTCGACCTCTCTGATAATAGCCATCACTGACAAAAGCTGATTCTTCTTTAACAGTTACAACAGAGTCTCGTTCTCCAGGAACATTTTGAGATTTTGATGCAAATATCCTATTCAAAGCAGATTTCATTGTGTCAAATTTAAGGTCAGAACATGCAGTTAGTGCCAGCTGACGATAACTTTGACTTAATCCAGCATTGTCCAGAAGTTTAAAAGCTAGAATTGCGTCTGGAAGTCCCATATCATATTTCTTACATTTATTATATCTCTGCTCAAATTCAATGATATAATCAGACATGCTTACATCCTCTCCTCTGTGGAACTGAACAAATACAGTATAAGCAGCATAAGCCTGATCTATTTTATCCTTCTCAAAAAGCTTGTCCAACTCAGTTATTACCTACTCCTTCATCAACATTTAAATCACTGGGATCTACTTCTAGGGCTACTTCCCTTGGTTTTCCTTGTAACGATAAAGCTAAAGCCAAACCTCTCTTCTTCTTGTCCAGATCAGTCACAAGTTGCCACATTTTTACCTCATTTTTCCATTGTTGATAACTCTTATCTTTGGTCAAACCTGGTGGGTTCTTGTAACTAGGTGCTGTTGCCATCTTTATTAGCTCTGCTACCACTGTTAGTTGATTAATTATGGCTTCAATATAAAATCTATTGTCTAATTTAATGTCTTTACTAATCTATAAACAAAACCCACCAAGTAACATGTACCTGAAAATAATATAAACAAAATAATAGAAAACACAATAGTTAACAATGATCTCTCTGAAATTGTACTGCAAGGTACCATACCACAAAGGGAAGGCTGGGATTGATTTTGGGGGTTATTGTCTCAAAATTTTAGGAATTAGGGGCCAAAAAGGGGCAAAATACAAGCATTTTTCTAGTTTCAGGACTCTAACTTGTGTGTAAGTGTATGGATCTTTATGAAATTGTACTACAAGGTTCCATATCACAAAAGGAAAGCTGGGTTTGAGTTTGGGGGTAATTGCCCAAAACGTTTAGGAATTTGGGGCCAAAAAGGGGCCAAAAAACAAGCATTTTTCTAGTTTCCAGACAATAACTTGTGTTCAAGTGTATGGATCTCTCTGAAATTGTTCTGCAAGATACTATACCACAAAGGGAAGGCTGGGATTGAGTTTGGGGAATTTTTCTTTCCTTTTTTTCCTTTTTTTTTCTTTAAAATTTTCCATATTAAGTTGGTTATTTCTGATTTATATATAAAAGCAAATAATAATGATATGGTTTGAATAAGTAAATTAAAATTTTTTAAGTTCTTAGACCACATTCATTCTGTGTCAGAAACCTATGCTGTGTCAAATATTTAATCACAATACAAATTCAGAGCTGTTTCAAGCTTGAATGTTGTGTTCATACTTGCCCCAACTGTTCATGGTTCAAGCATTATATTTTTCTTTTCTTTGGTAAATTGTTTGAAGAATTTTGTGGTAGGTTTGTTTGTTATTCTGTATAAACTAATTTTCTGAATGCTATATATATAATTTTTTTTTATGAAGTGAACTCCTGTAATTAGATAATAATCAATTTTTATTAAAGGATATATTTCATTACATTACATTGTGTAGAAAAAGTTGATAGATAAGTTGCAGATCTATATTAGTTGGTGACAAATGAAAGAAAAATATTTGGATTGGAACTATTGATTATAACATAATTTCAAATTGTATGCCAATATCACTGTTTGTCAAATCTAAAATATATGGAACTGTACTCATGCATATGGCAGAGCAGAAAAGGGGGGGGGGTGGGCATTGTCCATATCTAGTTTTGTTATATATCTAGGCCAATTACAATGAATACAAATAAAAGAAGATGGAGGCATGAATATAACAATATGCTTTAATTTTCTCTTTGTACTCAAAGGAAAGGTTAAGTCATACTTTATAGCTAGTACTTTATTTACCAACAATCAACAATGAAAAACAAAACCAGAAACAGAATTAGAATCTTCTCAATTGTTGTTACAATCATTGAAAAAGACAAGAAGGGTACTGTAAACAAAATGATATATTACATTCAGATGGAAGATTAAAGAAAAAACATGCAGAAAAGACAATTTTTACATCAGAAGATTACTTTAATGACCAAAAAATGTTAATAACAAACTTCCTGATCTGATATTGATGTCTAAACTCCTGACAAAAATTTCTCAATCTCCTCCTCTGAGTTTCAGTCGTGTATGTTTAAAAGTATAACAAAAATACCAAACTCCAAGGCAAATTCAAAAAGGGGAAGTCCATAAAAACTGAGAAAATTCAGACCTGTATCAAGCGCAAAATATTGTGTCCATACTTGCCCCAACTGTTCAGGGTTGGACCTCTGCGGTCGTATCCAGCTGCGCTTGGCGAAGTAATTTATTGTTCCTTTTTTTTAGCTCACCTAGCCTAAAAGGCCAAGTGAGCTTTTCTCATCATTTTGGCGTCCGTCATCTGTCGTCGTCGTCTGTCATCGCCATCGTTAACTTTTACAAAGATTTTTTTCTGTGAAACTACTAGACCAAATTTAACCAAACTTGGCCACAATCATCATTGGGGTATCTAGTTTAGAAAATGTGTCCGATGACCCAGCCCGCCAACCAAGATAGCCCCCATGGCTAAAAATAGAACATAGGGGTAAAATGTAGATTTTGTCATATCTCTGAAACCAAAGCATTTAGAGAAAACCTGACATGGGGTAAAATTGTTCATCAGGTTAAGTAAGATCTATCTGCCCTGAAATTTTCAGACAAATCAGACAACCAGTTGTTGGGTTGCTGCCACTGAATTGGTAATTTTAAGGAAATTTTGCAGTTTTTGGTTATTATCTTCAATATTATTATAGATAGAGATAAACTGTAAACAACAATAATGTACAGCAAAGTAAGATCTATCAATAGGTCAACATGACCAAAATGGTCAATTGACCCCTTAAGGAGTTATTGCCCTTTATAGTCAATTTTTAACAATTTTTCGTAAATTTTTATAATCTTTTACAAAAATCTTCTCCTCTGAAACTACTGAGACAAATTTAACCAAACTTGGCCACAATCATCATTAGGTTATCTATTTTCAAAAATGTGTCAGATGACCCCGCTTGCCAACGAACATGGCCGACATGGCTAATAGACCATCAATAGACCATAGTGGTAAAATGCAGTTTTTGGCTTATATCTCTGAAACTAAAGCAAAAGTATAATGATTGTACTATTTCATGCATCAATTGTAAACAAAATATCAGTTGAGCGACACAGGCTCCTTGGAGCCTCTAATTAATTATCTGCACTGTTTTGTACTTGTCATTAAACTTTTCTTATTTAATTTTTTTCAGAAAGAGCCATAGGAGAAAGTTGTACAAATGTTGCACAATGTATTGCTGCCAATTCTGAATGTACTGGGGATGGTACAATGACATGTGAATGTCCAGTCACACATTTCCATGATGGTACCAACTGTCTTAGTAAGTATCTTTAACTTGTTTATCAAATGAGTTAAAATAGAATGTTTTATATAAACTGTAGATCAAATGTCATATTTTATTGTTTTCATTTTTCACTATTTGATATGTTTAAAGCCATCGAAAATAGTACTGTACCACCCAGATTACAATTCTATGTTGCCCTCGGGGGCTTTTGGAGAAACTTGTACAAATACTGCACAGTGTATTGCTACAGATTCTTTATGTGCTCGTACTGATACACAGACATGTCAGTGTCCAACCACACATTTTTATGATGGTAACAACTATGTAAGTAAGTATCTTTGATAAATGAAATTTTGAATGTTTCATTTGTCACTTATGAAATAGTTTCTTCAAATTCTGCATGAATAGCTAAAAGGAAAATAAAGTTTCCAGGAAAATATGTTGGTTGGTTAATTGATATCAAATATACAGAAGTATAAGCAAAAATGAAAGAAATTACTTGCCAGGTCAGAAAGCAAGCTCAAAGATCATTAATTTCTAATATGAAATCAATTACATAAACTCTTATATTTATACATGTGAATATCCTGTCGGGATTAAGATAATCCTGATTTCAGTTGTGTCCTCCTGTCTTCCCTTTGAAGAGATAAAAATCATGAATGAAAATGTTCAGACACCAATTTTTACTACACTTTTTTTAAAATATTTGTTATTGAAAACGTAAACATCAGAGTGTATCTAACGAATCCAGTGTAACATTACACAACTTGAGTAGATTTTGACCCTGGCCCAAGACTAATTAACAAGTAATTGTAGTTTGATAGAATAATCAACAGGTGATATGATATTAATAACTGGATATGGCTCCTGTTTATGGCATATGCCAAGATTGATGATTTGTTGATTAAAGGAAAATACTTTTATTTATAGAAAAGTGAATTGTTGTCAAAACATCAATTAAAAAGTTTTTATGTTGAAAAACATTTGATAGCCATTCAACTCAGCAAAGTTATGCTCACTACTTCACACTGCAATGCTGCCTTTAAGAGGACAATTTCCCAAGTCAAAGTGGACAGCAGTTCTTTAGCAGTTTATTAGCATTCACAGTTCTTACTCGACAGCTGTTCTTTAGCAGTTTATTAGCATTCACAGTTGCCAAATTCAAGGCAATAGTTAATTTGCATATAAGCATTCCAATAGCATTCCATAGCAGTTTCTTAACAGTTTATTTAGCCTTCACAGTTATTTAACAGTTATTTTTGACGAAAAATTTAAATGAGATACTCAAAAACTGCTATCTTCTCTGAATATTCATGAGAACTGCTATAATAACAGCTATCAATAATGAATATTCATAGAAACTGCTAAGTTGTACATCCTAATATGGTTTTCTAAACTGCTAATAACTGCTACGGAATGCTATCAGATCTGTCAAAAGTTGGAATACAAAGGTACACATGAATATACAGTGTACAAGATATGAATGCAAAAATAAAATTCTAATATTTTACTGCAAGTCTTGTTGAAATTTCAAAAAGTTGTACCAACTTATATTTGTAATTTGAGCAGTAACTGCAATCAAATGACTCTATTTTAATCCAATAACAGACTTGTTAAGGGGTGTAAAGATGCTTTGTGAGTACTCTACCTGGCCTAATACCCCTTATTAATTATGTCAGTGGCAGAATAATAGGAACAGTTAAGAATTATAATGCACTTTAGAGATCAGTGCTTTTTAAAAGCAACTTATTCAATAAGAGTGGTTACTTAAGAGACAATTTATTACCTTGACTAAGTGATTTTCAGATTAAAAGTTATTTTATTTTTACTATTATTTAATTACCAAATGTACTACTAATTTCTCTTCTACTATATATATTTTGTGTGGACCAAAAGAAAACAGTTATCTCCTCTTTCTCTTTTGGAATTAAACAAAATAATTCTTAATACATGTAATATATTATGTTTCCACTTTCTGAAACAAACTTAAGTAACATATATTAACTTCATTAAATGGATTGTTTGGTCAATATTAAACAATCAGCTATATGTGACCTAGGTTTCCCTAATATTCCCTCCCCCTTTTTCAACTCTTGAATATGATTTATTTTTGGTTTTTTTACAAAATTATATTAAAATATTCATATTTTTATTTTCAAATAACATCTTGCACTGTTAATATATAATGGTATTTTATTACAATCCTATCATCATCAGATATTCTATTTGAATAAACAACTATCCCCCCTTTTTGGGCTTTCTGTATTATTTCTGTTTTTCCCTACAAAGTTATGTCAGAAAATACACATGCATTATCTGTAACTTCAACTTACTGTACTGCAGGTGTGAGAAATTATTCCATTTAGCCCAAATTAAACTTTATAATTGACAAAAGTACAGTTTTTCACTAGCAAGTATTTACACACAGCTTGGAGCCAAAATGCACATTTGAAAATGATCAAATAACCTTCAAATAAAGGTTTACTATCAAGCTGAAAACACAGCCAGATCCAAGCATTTTTATAACAGAGATTAAAACCAAAACTGCTATCAAACTGCTATTGAACTGCTGTCATAACTGTTGTCCTATTGACAAATTGACAAACAGTTTAGAAGGTAGATCCAGACTGCTAAGATGAATGCTAAGAGGAATGCTAAGAAATGGTGAAATAAGGCAGTTTCTCAAACTGCTGTTAGATGGAATGCTATGAACAGCTGAAAGACTGCTAAAAATATGAAGAACTGGTAAATAACAGCTAATAAACTGCTAATGATAGCAGTTCAGTTTGACTTGGGTATTCAGCATGCTTAAGAAGGTCCATACTGACTTGCAGAGCCAAGTGTAGTCAGAGCAGCAATGTTGGCTTGTTATTAGTCCCCTACCAACGAAATCGAAGGGGACTTCAGGTTTGCACTCTGTCTGTCTGTCTGTCTGTCCATCCGTCAGTCCGGCAAATCAGTTTTCCACACTTTTTTTCTTCGTGCTTGAAGATATTGATTTGATATTTGGTGTATTGGTTTATCATGACAAGTTACAGATCAAGTTCAAATTTTGTTCCTGTCTGATGACAGTGCAGAGTTATGGGCCTTTGAATTAGAAAATTCACTAAAATAATTAGTTTTCATCACTTTTTTTTGTCATTCTTGAAGATATTGATTTGATAATTAATATAGAGTTTTATCATGACAAGTAACAGTTCCAGTTCGAATTTAGTTCCGGTCTGATTATTTTGTGCAGAGTTATGGTCCTTGGACTTAGAAAATTAACTTAAATAATCAGTTTTCAACACTGTTTTTCGTCATGCTTCAAGATATTGATTTGATATTTGTTATATAGTTTACACCATGACAAGTTATAGATCAAGTTAGAATTTTGTTCCAATACAATGAATTTTTAACCGGTAGGGGACTATGTATTGCCATGCAATACTCACAGAATGCTAGTTAAATAACAGTGTCCATGTAATATAGACAGGGCTATCTGAATTAAGTCCAAACTGAAAATTCTAGCTTTGTATGCCCCCGCCGTAGCGGTGGGGGCATTAAGTTTTACCCTTGTCCGTCTGTACGTATGTACGTCCCAAAATTGGTTTCTGTTCTCTAACTTGAAATTGCCTCAACCAGATGTTATGAAACTTATTCACAATGCTTATTACCACAAAACACAGATCAAGTTTGAATTTTGGTGGTGTCACTTTAACCGTTCTAGAGTTATGCCCCTTTATAAATGGAAAAATTGCAAAATTTTTAGTTTTTATTCTCTAACTTAAGTTTGACTCAACCAAATGTTATGAAACTTATACACAATGCTTATTACCACAAAACACAGATCAAGTTTGAATTTTGGTGGCGTCACTTATACCGTTCTAGAGTTATGCCCCTTTATAAATGGAAAAATTGCAAAATTTTTAGTTTCTTCTAAATATCAAGTAATTTTTGTCTCGCCTTGACGGAGTCAAAAAGCGAGACATAGGTATGGTGTTTCCGGCGGCGGCAGAAGCGGCGTCAACAATGTATTAGTTTGTGATAAGGTCTAGTTCATGGTGAACCACTAGTGGTAGGTCAATGATATTTGGTATGCAGTTGTATTAGCATTGGCACATCTCATTACCATGGAGATTATTTGGCCCTGCCCCCTCAGTCAAGGTCTATTGACTTTGAAACTTTTCATAGTTTACATGTATTAGTTTGTGATTAGGTCAATTTATGGGGAACCACTAGTGGAAGGTCAATGATATTTGGTATGCAGTTGTATAAGCATTGGCATATCTCATTTCCATGGAGATTATTTGGCTCCTCCCCCTTAGTCATGGTCTATAGACTTTGAAAATTTTGCTAAGTTAACATGTATTAGTTTGTGATTGGGTCAGTTCAACGGGAACCATTAGTGGTAGGCCAATGTTAATTGGTGTTCAGTTATATAAGCATTAGCACATCTCATTTCCATGGAGAATATTTGGCCACGCCCCCTCAGTCATGGTCTATTTACTTTGAAACTTTTGCTTAGTTTACATGTATTAGTTTGTGATTAGATCAGTTTAAGATGAACTGCTTATGTTAAGTCAATGATATTTGGTATGCAAATTTATTGGCATTTGCAAGTATCGTTTCCATGGAGATTATATAGCCCCACCCCTGATCATGGTTCATTGACTTTGAAACTTTTACATAGTTTACAAGTTAATGTTTGTGTTTAGGTTTGTTTAAAGGGAACGACTTATAATAAGTCAATGGTATTTGGTATGCAGTTATATTAGCATTGGCACATCTCATTCCATGGAGATTGTTTAGCCATGTTCCTTCAATCATGGTTCATCGACTTTGAATATTTGCATAACTTACATGTTAAAGTATTGCTATTTTAATTTCAACATTTGCATTATCAAAATAACAAAAAGGCAAGACATATCTCTGTGATAACAATTTATTAAAATTGGAGTTATCTTCCTTTGTCCATGATTATAGTTGAATCAACTACAATCAATGCTTTATACAATGCAATGTTTAATTTTGACTTCCACTGATAAAACACAGAT